CCCCTCCTCCCCCCGAGTCAAGAACCACTGTTCTCAAAGATGCCAAACATGTGGATGTTTCCATATCTTCCAGTGCCTGGAATTATAAATGGCAATCATCTTCCTGATTGACAGGATATGTCTACTTTTGATTAGATGTTGTGGATTCACATAGGCATATGGAGATGTGGTGCAGGCTTCCAGAGAAGTTGGGAGAAACTTAGTCATCAGCAGCTGAGTGGTCATTCATGATTTCCAGCTGCAACAGAGCAGGGCTCTGCCTCCACCTTTGGGTCTGCTAGTTATTAATAGGTAAGAAGTTGATAATTATGTAAAAAGCTACATTTTACCTAATCTGAAGCTGGTTATGAGGTGATGATAGGAATGAGTTCTATTGTTCAGTTAAATTCAGTTAAAGGGTAATTTGTTTCCATGAGTCATGACTGCCTTCTTAATCTGGGCCAAAGAATAGATAATATCTCTGCATGCAAATAGTGTTCATCCTGGTGAAAGAGGTTAGGAAAATGGTTTCCCTATACCAAAAGGCTGTTAATTAATGTTCAAATGAGACTCTGCCCTCATGTGGTCTAAAACTCCAGATATACTTTTGTTCTCTTCACAAGGCCAAAATTACCAGGGGAGCCATGTTGATTTTGGACATCTTTAGGACAAAAATGCAAAACCCTTAAATCAATTCAGATGACTGCTATAGTATCTAGCCTGGAAATGTTGAAACTCATATCAAATGGCTGAATTTGGCATCATACACCATCCACAAATGCAAGCTCCTAAGTCAGACTACCTGTGTTTGAATTAGGATCACATACTTGTTTGCTACAGAGTAAATGACTAAACTTATCTGAGCCTCAAACTCCTCAGATGTTAGATGAAACTGATATTAATACTTCACAGGGATGTAATGAGGATAAAATGAGATGATGAATCTAAACAGCACTTCACACAGTGCCTGGCATATAGCAAGCACTTATTCCGTGGCAGCAATTATCCTTACTTGAATTAAACTTTATTTATGGAATATAACAATGGCTTGTTTCTTTTGTTATTATAATCCATAAAGATAATTTTAGAGGTTGATGGGATATCACAGATGCTATGATTCTATGTGTTCATTCTGCAGATGAGAAAACTGAGGCACAGAAATGAGATACAGTAATTCCAGATTCATGCCAAACAGACTCTAATACTCAGATCTCTAGAATCTATACAAATGCTGATGTAGTGCAAAGAGGAAGAGCTTTGGACTCAGAATATCTGAGTTTGCCACTTATATTTGTAGGCATTCAGTTTCATCCTCTGCAAAATGGTTGTAAAAAATAGCTGACCTGAAAATGTTACAGCAAATCAGATGGAATGTATGAAAGCATAAACTGTGGAGTGCTACACAACTGATACTTAATATTGTGATTTCTTCTGCATTAAAAATGCAATACACACATAGACACTGGAACACACATAAGCTTCTCAAAGTACCATTCAAGATCCTTTCTGATAGTTTTTCCTGGCACAGGGTAGGCTCGATCAAGTGCAGTGGTTTACTTTCTGTTTCAAAGCTGAGCACTCCAAGAGCAGCACCTTGGACAGCATCCAGAGAGGCTTCTTTCAGGTACCTATAACATTCTCTATGTGCTTTCTTACTGGCTGCAAGCTACCCTTGCCTTGCAGTCTGACTCTCATAGGGAAACACAAACAGAAACTTCACTTCACCTCCATCCTTACATACTGCAAGTTTGAAAAATAGGGGTCCACATGGAATCAGGGTTTTTTTTGACCTTCACTAATAGACCTGGACATGTTGATTGACAGCCTGCCACATTCTCTAGGAAGTGAAAGTTGGTATTTTCATTCAGTTTGCCTACAAGTGAACTGTATATATTTCAGGACCTAGAAATACTCCAGTGAACAAATTCATACTGAAGCATAAAACATACCTGCTTGTGAACTTTGTGTCCCTTGGCAATGCCAGGGTCAGAATGTCAGTTTCAAAACCACAACAACAAAATTAAAAAAAAAAATTCTTTTTTAAATGTCAATGTTAATTTGTGGTGAGGGTAGAGAAGGTGAAGAAGGACATAAGGATAACACTAGAAATAATTACAAATCTAGTTTAAAAGGGGAAAAGCTACCAATTTGTCATTTTATCAATTCACAATGAGAGCAGCCCTAATGGACAAAGAAAACAGAAGAGGATAAATATAATTTTAGAACTTAAAAGTGACTTCAAGGTGACCTCATTATATAAGTGATTCTACTAAGAGCTATTCATTTAGTCATAGGTTTTATTTTGTGTTTTTATTATAAATCTTTATCTAAAGATAGCTTTGTTTCATGAAATCAATGTGGAACTGAGAAGGGTTTGCTAAAAATGATGGAGCTATTATAAATGTATAGACCCAGCTTACGACAACCCATTCTAATTGCTCCTTAAACATAATTTCAAAATTATAAAGCATGGGTTGCTTATTATGAATGACTTGGTAAGGTACCAGGCCCTTAACTAAATGCCACTAAAAAAGCAATCTGATTCATGATTCTGTTTACATATCGCTGTTTTTTCAATATGAATATGTTTTAAGAGTCACTAAACACCTGACTCAAATTCAGTCCTAATGCATGGTATTTTGCCCATTGCTAGGATTTTCTTTTAAAGTGTACCTTTGAAAAACCTTAAAGGAACAGAGACTTCAGAAATACACAAAGCTCGCTCTTTGCTAAGGTGGAAGTCATGGCATGGATGGGGGGAATGTCACAGATATTGTAAAACACAAGCCAAAGCACACGTAACTTCTTACCTTTTGGGCTCTGGATTTGCCTGGGTTTTGTAATCTTTTCTTTTTTTGGATTCCTTTTTGGTATCTTTTTTAGCCTCTGGTTCAGATGGGGAGGGAGTTTTGCTCCCTTGAGGGTCTGTATTTGGTGGCAGCCCACTAAGGTATACATGCATTTGTTGACTTTGGAGAGGGGGTGGTCGCATGGGGCATGCACAGAGGGTGGCCAGCCACAGGAGAACCAAGAGCACGCATGCATGCACAAACGAAAGAAAGAAAAAGAAGGATGTATCAAACAGCAAGAGCAAATGCCTTCAAACTAAAATAATAAGCAAAAAAAAAAAAAAAAAAGATGCAAACTTGCATAAGGAAAATCGGAACTGAAAAGAAAATAAGAAATCCAAAACTGTTTCCATGACAAGATGTATAAACCTAACTGTGAATCAAGTGGCAGTCTTACAATATGAAATCCAGACAATGTGTATCATAATTCATGATGATGTTTACCAGGGAGTTTACAAAAACACTTCATTATTTTATAACACTTTCTTATTCAGTAACATATGTAGAATACAGTGTGACAACCCAGAGAATATAATGCAACTTCTCTCTCTCTCTTTAAAGAATTCAGTCCAAGAGGCTGTAACAGATAGTCATCAAAGTGTACATATTTATAAAAAGCAGAGTTATGCACAGATACTCTTCAGGTATCAGAGTTTTCATAAATATCTTTTATGTAAATAAAAGGTCATGTGCTGGGCTAGCAAACCTTATAACAATGGGAGGTGATGAAAACTTGTTTCCTGTTAAATATTCAAACCTACAATGCTATTGTTAACCTAGTTCTAAATGTTGAAGTTGCATCTCATAAAACCCACCAGCGCTAGAGAGAAGAAAAGCACAGGACAAATCCCACAGATATTTCAGAGTCATCTAGCTTGCAAAGATGAAGATAACGGACAGTCTGATTTAAAATAAATGCAGTCAGTTCGGGATTCTCCCACAAGTGAATTTCCCCACAGCACCAACTTTTTTGGGTTTCTGAAGCCACCTAGTTTTTCCTGGATGTGCCTTTCCTGGCTATTGGTTGAGGTGCTTGAGGTAATGCAGGCTTGTCTTCCTAGTAACGTGAGGCTACATACATTGGGATAGTAAACTGGCTGTGGCAATGTGGAAATTTATTCCATATCTTCAGAGCCAAATGGTAATGTTCCTAAATTATTTGCTGCTTTGCATTATTCAGAACATGGATCTTTTCCTCCAGGAGCTGGGCAACGTCTAAAGAAAGAGAGTACTTAGTATGGAGTTAGAACTGATGTTCTGGTCTATAAAACCTATAAAATGAGGGGGTTGGTTACAGTGTGATCTCTGAAGTTCTTCCCAGCTCCATGGTTAAACTGTAAGTGTTATGATTAACTTTGCCTTCCAGCTTCACCTAGCTTATTTCAGCTCTGGAAGTGTGCTTGGCTTCCTCCTTCAGCAGGGCATTTGTACATGCTGCTCCTTTTGCCTGGAAGCACTCAACTCCTACACATGCTTCAATTCTCAGCCCAAGCCTCTCTTCCTCAGGGACACCCTCTCTGCCATCCTAACACCCCATCTGAGCTATCTTCCTTTATTAAATGCTAGTATGGAATATTATTCCTTGTCGTCAGAGCACCAATCTCTATGTAACCCTGTCCTTGTTTGGTGTCTTGTTTGCTCACTGAGTGAGCCTGGCAGTAAGTAATCATTAAATAACTATGGAATGAATGATAATCATGAGAACAACAAAGGTAAACAACAAAGGTAAACATTTATGTTTATGAGAACAACAAAGGTAAACATTTATGAAGCTCTTGCCATGTTCCAGGCATGTTCCTGAGCCACCTGCATCCTCTCAACAATGCCATGAGGATACTACCATCCCTGTTTTACAGATGACAAAACTGTGGCATGGAGGGTTTCATTACCATCCAGCATCTTTGCTAGTAAATGGAGGAGCCATGATTTAAACCTAGATTGTTCTACCTTCAGAGACCACTTTAGAAGTTCTGTTTGCTATGTCTTTAAGTTCCTTGAAAGGAGAAGAAACTAAGACCTTTGTGTTCATGTGTGTGATACAGAAGGAATGGGAATGGACACAAAGTTAGAAATAATTCTAAAAGCAGGACCAATCATAGACCCTTGCCAGTGGCTTAAAAAAAAGACTTTTCTTTTTTTTTTTTTGAGGACTACTTCTGGACAAGTCCTTACCTGTTCCCGTGGACATGGGATGCACAGAAGGCAAAGCTGTAGTGGAGGAGGGTGGGGTCAATCATGGCGCCATTTTCCGCCCGTTCAAGCAAGTCTCTGAGGTAGCAGAGATGTCGGTGACACCCTCGGACTCCATTTCGGGCGCAATACTCGTCTAGGACAAATACCTGGCCAGGACTGAACCAGCCCTGTTTGGGGAATAAAGGAGAGACTTTCTTTTAAATACAGGTTTTTGTTTGTGGTGGTGGGTTTATTATTTATTTATTTATTTATTTATTTATTTATTTATTTATTTATTTATGAGAGCTGCTACAGTTGGGGGTGACTGGAGAAGGGGGTTCAAAAATTGCCAGAGCCAACACATTTTGATTTCTTCTAAGTGCCAGCCACTGTGCTGATCCCCTTGTGAGCGCTGGCTGCTTTAACCCTTGTACCAGCCTTGTGAGGTAGGTCCTGTTATCTCTGTTGGATGGGTGGGGAAATCGAGTTGAGGGAGGACATGGAATTTCCCTAGGATCCCAGAGCTAGTACGTGCTGGAGTCTGGATTAGCTGACAGCATGATTCCAGAAACAGAATCTCACCTGCTGCTTTAACACTGGGCCATACACCTTCCAAAAGCATTGGAGTGGGGACAGGGTGAAATCTTGGTTACTGATAAGAGGAAACAATAACATGAGGTCTTAAAATTGGTATCGTGCTTTACACAAAGAACTTTCACTTGAGCCCCATAGCAATCTCCTGAGGTGGGCAGGGTAGGTTTATCTTCACCTTATAGATAAGGAAAGAGATCAGGGCTGCTAAGTGACTCGCAAATAATACAAAACAGAAGCAGCGCTGGCTTACTCAAAGTCTTCTGTTTTTCCTACTCTGAAGCATTAAGAAATATTAGGATTGGTCTACATACATGCCAGGACTTCATAAATTCTTTCACTTTGAAAGACAATCCTTTTTAAATTTTAAAATGAGGATAATGACACAACTTCATAAAGAGAGCAACATGACTAAGTTTTCAAGGTATGAATCAGACATGATTCAATTAAACTCAGAGGTGCTTCTGACGTCCTGGCTTAGCGTCTTGTTTCATTTTTTCCTCTGGCAATTATTTGTTTTCTTCTTATTTATTTGCTCGCTGTATGACCAGATGAAACTCTGCTATAAAAGAGAACCTGGATGGGATCTCTGTTTCAGAGCAGACTGGGAAGCATGATGGCATAGAAATCACTGCCTCCATGATGCATTTAAAAAAATAGATGCTCAGAAAGGCCAAGTGGCTTGCCACTCAAGGTCACCCATCAGCCAAGCCAGAAATCAAATCACTTCTTTTGGTTTTAGTACCTTTCAGAAGCAAAAAGATACAGGTTTCCCTCGTTATCTGAAAATGGAGTGTTCCTACAAAACCTTTCATAAGCCAAAATGGTGTCAAATGAAGAAGCAATCACCATTTCGTAAAAGTGAAAATCCTCTTTGGATCTCTTTTGGTTATTGAAAACAAGTACTAATATAGGTCTTTTCATAAAAGCAAAGTGGCCTAGAGTGAACTTTTGGATAGTGGTGGGGGTAGGGGGGCAACCTGTAAACCAATTTAGGTTGGTACTTTGTAAGCTGGGAATTTAGAATTGTTTTAAATATAAATTTAATTGTACTTTGAGGGTCCTCTCTGAGTCTTGTGAATATCGCTCTGTCTTGGGAGAGAAGAGGCAAAAGGAGAAAGTGATGGTGGGTTTTGCGGGGGCGGGGGGTGGGGTGGGGAGGCAGGTACAGGCCACAGAAGCGCAGTGAGAGAGGCCTCTGCAGTACTCTGATCTTGTATTAGTGATCTGGGGACTCTTCGATTGACAACATGCAGCTCAGCAATACATCCAACGAAAGACGGCATCTTTCCTATTTCAAATTATAAGTTACTGCAGAGGGCGGGAGAGTAGTCGAGGCAGTGGGCTGCCCCTATAGGCAACTTCTTTGCCACTCCATCTGCTACCCCAAATGCTAAATCTTAGAAACAACACTGCTGTGAAAGATTAAAATATATTTTCTACGACTCAGATGACACCAAGTCTTTTGTAGATGCCAAAATAGCTGCTTTGAAAAGAGTTGAAGAAATATCAATTAGGAACTCAGTCGAAGACACAGAAAAATTTATGTATCCCTGCTGGTCGGTCTCCAAAACTAACTGAAAAAAAAAAAAAGATTGTAATAATGAGAAAATGAAATATATAGAGGCAGAAGATAAGGTCCTTTTAATTGCTGTTATTTTCTGAAATTTGGGGATAATGATTAATAGATCCAGGTATACAAATGCAGAAGGAAACTATTTTATGATATTTGTAATTAATTTTGGGTTTTGGAGCATATTTTTAAGCCTATACATGATTAATAGGAAGCAAGCTTCACAATTTCACTTCTTGTTCAATTTTTTTAGAGGGCATTTGCTAACTCTCCTTAGTGACTGAATCTCTTAGCGAAAAAGAAAATTGTTTTTAAAATGATGTGAAAAAAGTCTTGAAAGTAATACACTTTAAAAAAAATTCCTCAAGAGAATAGGAATTAAGATCAGCAGCATAGTCTTACAACTTTCATGAATGCAATTTATAATTACATGAATAATCACATAATCATAGGAAACACATTTGAGAAAAATTGCCTTGCAATGCAAGGTAAGCTTTTTTTTTTTTTTTTTTTTTAAGTCAAAGTGAAGTGTTCCCTTCCAATTTGGCAAAGTTCAGATTCTTCTGATGAAGTGATTCTAAACCCGAGATCATCAATGAATCTTTTATGAGACTCAGATTAATAAATTATTCCGTATAATCCCATTTCTGTTTTAAAGACATTTTATCTACTATTTTTAATAGTTTGGCTCTGGTTAGAGGAAATAAAATGGAATTTAGAATAAAAAGTAGAATAGATGTAAGAAATAGCCATGTCATTTAGAAAGGAAACAGATTTTCGTTATATTTACATAAATGTCAATAATATGTTAACCTTAGTAAATTATATAATATTGGCAAAATACAGATATATTAACCTTAGTGTTTAGAGTCAGGGCTGAGGCTTTTCCTCTGTGTAAAGTCATTTCATTATTTCCCCTCACCGTTCCCATCTATAAAGTGGGATTAATATCATTTACCTTTAAGAAATGAAGTAACAATTTACGGTTTATAGAAGGAAATAAACGGGGTCTTTTTTAGGCTTCTGAATTTGATTAGTATAAAGTCCAAAATATATCTTCAGAAATCCAATAAAGATAGAATTTTTAAAAAGACATAATAGTTGTCCCTTGGATTTAAATGATTCAAATCTAGGCTTAGAACAGGATTTTAAGAAATGTTAACGCTCTTGCTGGAGAACTGGACTTCCAAATGTCTAAAGCACCATAAAAAATTCCCCCCAAAGGGTGAAAAATGCTTTGAATATTATGAAAAAAATTAGAAGCCATCCAAACAAACAAACCCAAACCAGTTTAGCTTATGAAAAGCAAAGTGAAGTTTATTTACAAATCATTTTAATTTTTGAAAAATAAACAAAAAGAACACATTCATTTCTGAGACAGAAGCACCGGGTCTTATCAACTGAGGAGGGAAAGGAGGAGGAATCTTAAAGTCTAAGAAACCGAGGCAATTTTTACAAGTTCTCCACAAGCAGGTGCCAAACTCGATTACCCTCTTGGGAATATTTCTCATGTAGCAGCTGAAAAGGGGGAAGCTTAGCTAGGGAGGCTGGGGAATTGGATCCGTCTCTACTGATAACTTCCTCCCGCTCTGTCTTCTTTCTTTGGTAAGTAAAACTATCTCCACCCAGGAAATCAAGAACACATTTTTAATTGTTAAAGGGGCTCTGAAATGGAGAAAAAGAGCTTCTGATAGAAAGGTAGAGATATTTTTTTATTAAAAAAAAAACAAAACGTTATCAGGTTTAAATTGCTGTAGACCAAAGAATATACTTGCCAGGCAAGAATACGAATCATTAAGTCTGTGATCCAAAGTAAGGCGTTGCACCATCTCAAAGAGGGAAGCGTGGTCAAAGTTACAGGGGTTGGAAGAGATAAATTCATCCATGCCATGTTTTTGAGCTCTATCTGCGTCTGTTCATTTATACATGTAGAGAGAGACACAATTTAGAGAAACACATCACATTTTCTTTGACATTTCAAATACACAGGAATTCACTAGGCATTATGAACGCTAGCTGCTCCCCCCGCTCCCGTTGCCTCCCACCAACATCCGCAAGATACTCTTTTTACCTCCCATTGTCAACTTGCATCACTCACTGGTGAGTTTATTGCATTTAGGCAAAAATATATTGGCATCAACATGTTTATCAAATGATCACAATTCCAGTGCATTTATGTTGTTCTTTAAAAACTAAGCACACGACCGTAACTTCGCCTGTATTTCACCAAACACTGAAAGCAGATCGGATCTTTGCTTATAAAAGCCTATTTAGCTTTTTTTTTTTTTAGTTTTTTTAATAGATTCTGCCATTCCAGTGGTTATGTCTAGAGCAATTTCTCTATAATTATTGGGATTAGCTGGAAAAAGGGGTATGCTGATTTTCAGCAACGTGACAATATTTGTATCCTCCCCTTCCCCATTCCCGTTGCCAATTTGGTTTCACAAAAGATTTGGGTCCCAACCCTCCAAAATTAAAAAAAAATAATAATAACAAAAGATTTTCCTTGAAACCTGGAGAATAAGTTAAATGGGAATTTAGTTTGTGATAGCCAAGGTCATTGCCTTATAGTGTGCTTACAGTTAGCAAAGCTTATGGAAGAGACAAACAGATTTACTCAGCAAGGGCTATGATCTGCCATTTATTGTGAATTAATAGTCTCAATGTATTCACACTTTTTCTTACAGGGTGAAGGCTGCAAGCAAAACCTCCTAAGGGCTAACTAATTAATCTCAATATGTGTAACTAAAATGCTCTATACTCAATCGGCAAAATAACTCAGAATTCAACTCAAGGGAGACCAAGTAAATCCCGAAGAGGTAGGAATGAAGATCCTACGCATTAAAGGAATCAGCTCACTCCACCTCATATTTACTCACTCTCCTGATATGCAGACTGCAAAGAAAAAGAATCTTATATCAAATTAAGCCAGAGTTTATTCATCCCCTTGCATGCAGTATTCTACCGGATTATGGGGACCTGCCAGGGACCAGCGATGCTGTCTGGACAGGAGGAAAATCAATTTCTGACTTGGGAGGGTGTTTGGATATATTTTCATACATGGCCTTCATCCCAGGCAGTTTTTCCCCCCGTCCATACTTGGGGTATGACTGAAAACTTGAGTTTTGGTAGCAGGGTGACGTTAAGAAGATGATTTCTTATTACATTATTGGTTTTGTGTATCCTTCAGACCTAAATCCATGGTATGTCAGATTTTTGCCCTCTTACTGTTCGATTTTTTAAATCTCTAGTCATTTTCCATAGAAGCAGCAAGCGGTCAGTGTTTGAACAGGATGTGTTGTTTATGTCCTAGACACACAGAAGCAATGGTTTCCAGAAGACAAGTTGAAGAATGTATATTTTAATAGCCAAATTGTTCCATTAGGATGATGCAACATAAGCTTTTGGAATGGATATCACATGTACGGGAATTACACTAGAAAGAATTCTCTTTGCTCTGTTAACTGCCTCGGGTTTGTCTTTAAGAAAGTGCTTTCAGTTTCAGGTTAGGTGCTTTATCTACGAGGATTTCTTTTGTTGGCTCTTTGGGCTCCAAGCTGTATTTCTCCTTTGACTCAGGACGGTTAGGAAGAGAGGTGGCCAGGAAGGTGATGCTGGGGAGGAAGCCATCTGCTTCTGGAGTGTGTCTGTGTGAGGCTCCTCTGGCCCGAGGCACTCGTCTTAAACCTGCTACAACTTTAGCTCTGCACCAGCAGGAGGACAGTCCTGCAGTCCAGGGGACACTCTCCAACCCACGGGACAGATTATGCCCTCCCACCGCCCTCCGGTCAGTCCCAGGTCCGTTGAATTTAGGAAAAATAACAGTGGGGTACACAAATTGCTCATCCTATTTCATCCTCATAAAAAGCCTCACCCACCTTGTGCCTCCCAATTTTAACAGATAGATGAGGCATTTTGGCTAGCACCAGCTTCTTGCTCTCGAATTTCTCAGAAGAGGCTTGCAAGCTGACAAATCGGCCCAGGCCTTACTTTGCCAGTTTGGCTCGCTATTTTATTGCTCTTCAATTATGATGGTGCAACTGGTCATTTAGCTCAGAGAGAAGGGGGCTCTTTCGTAGCTGTTAAGAATATGACATGTTTCAAGTCTCTTTTTCGTTATTTGTTGAACCTCTTGAAAAGTTTGCGGTGAACTATTTCGCCTTGCTGTCTGCCCACTCAGGAAACAGATCTGAAAAGACAACTTGGCTCCTCTGAGGGACCTGGATAGAGACCCACTCCCCGCCCCCCTGATGCATCACAATACAGCTTCACGGGGCTAATTCCTGGCTGAGAGTACATCTAAAGAACAATTTCGCTTTTACTTACGTTTTAAAAAAGCAGGCTTACAGAAAAATATGCTTAAAATCAGCCTGCTTTCCTTTTCAGAAAGCAACTCTGTCAACATAAAAATTCCTTTTTCCTTCTTCCTTTCTTCCTTTCCTCTCTCTCGGTCCACATGTAGATGAGCCTGGGACTGCTTTAGGAGATCTGGACTCTAGTTTGAGCTCTATTTTTAAATAAGCTGTGGGATGGCGGCTTCTTGCTCTCTCTGAGACTCAGTTTCCTTGGGTGTAAAATGAGCCGAATTTCCACTTCCCTTGGTGGGGTCACTGTCATTTAACCATCCTTAAGATCCCTTGCACAACTTCCACATGTGTAAGATGGAGCTGAATGCAATGGGAATTTCCAGCAGGTGAAACGAGCAGCCTCTGGATTTTGCTTACACAAAATCATCACTTACTCAGATTTAGGCTCATTATCTTAATGATTCCAACAACCCAAGAGTGGTTAAAGGGTGGTTGCCTCCCATAAAATCTTTGAGAGTTTCACTGAGCTTATTATATTCAGAAAAAGAAAGAGGAGCGGGGGGGCCAGGGATGCTATTTTAAGGTGTCAGAGGAAGGGATCTGATTTTTAAGCTCCATCCCAGCAGGGATTTTGGTACTTTTGCTCTCTGCTGTATTTTCAGCACCTAGAATGGTATACCTCAGTTCCTGGTACATAGTAGGCACCCAAAACGTACGTGTTAAAATAATGAATTTATTTCATTAAAATAAATAAATTCACTACTTCAACAAATATTTTCTATTTCTTGATTTTATGAAATGTTGATATACTAAATTCAATGGGAACGGTGTATTTGAGCTAGGTTAGCAGGTGGTTAAGTGGGTGGGCTTAGGGGGTCACAAAGACTGCATTTGAGGCCAACCCGGTCATTACTAGGCATGTGATGTGAGGCAGGTTGATTAGTATTTCTGAGTGTCCTTCTCCTCCTTTGTAAGCTGAGAATAGTGTTTGAGTCTACCCTTGGAAGGTTACTGAGAGGTTCTGCTGAGGACTTGTTGAGCACCTGGACACCTAGCACATAGTAAGTGCTCAATAAACCTTAGCTGTGAGCCAGTGGGCAGGTTTCTTAGTGCTCCCGAAGCCAGATTGTTTAATGTTTTCAGCAAGCCAAGGATGTCTCTGCATTTATAGCTAATGTTAGTTGCAGGTTGCTTCTTAAACCAGATTGCTTCTAGGAAGCTGGGAGCATTCCCAATCTCTCTGCTTTATGCTTCTCCTCTGCCCCTGTACCACTAATTCCCACGTCCTGTCTCTGTGTTTTTGCTGGTTATGTTCCAATTTCTCAGTGGTCAGAACACCCACACACAGTTGAATCCCTTGATAGATAATATGTTCCTTGAGGGCAACTTTCTGATCTGTTCTTTCCCCTGCCAGCTCCCAGAGGAGCCAGGTCCCTAGGAGGTATTCATTAACTGACTTTTTCTGACACTTCCATCCCAGGAAACTTCCCATTGACTTTATTAAGGAGTCACACACATGGGAATTCAGATGGCATCTTGCAAATCCAAAAGTGGGAACATGTGCTCTTTGGGGGAAAAAAAATCTTATAGAAGGAAACAGAATTCTAGGTGCAGGTGTCTTTGGATACCATTCAGATTGTCTGCCTGTGTCTCCATACATGTCTAGGACCATATGCATTACATATGTTGTCTATTTTAAAATAAAACACTGCAGTGGTCCAGCTGTTCCAAATTCTGTTTCAAAGAACTTGTGGGTGCTTCCCAAGCAACACCATATAGTCATTCTTGCACGGCCCCAGTCTGTTCTTCTACAGTGTGGAACATTACAAAATAGATGCTCCTTGCAACTCCATTTCCCCCTGTACAAACAATTGGAACTGGTTGGTGAAAAAAAAGAAAACTCCAATGCTGACGTTAGCAAGGGGAAAACAGCCCAAAGCAAAATATGAGAAAGTTACTTCCTGAATTCAGGACACCTTGGGATTGCTTCCTGTGCCAATGTTTGGCTTGTGTCAGGAGAATGAAAATGAATTTGAACACTAGGGTGAGCAAAACAGAATTAGGAGGGTAATGTGGCTGCTGAAATCTCCAATGATGTTTGGATTATCTCTGGCTTTGGGAAATGTATACCAATGCTCTTTTTCCTTTTTTTTTTTTTAAAGGTTTTTATTTATCAATGCTCTTTTTCATTAATATGTCTTCTTCTTCTTTTTAAAGAGATCAAGGATTGATTGCATTTTAAGAACTGACTTCAACCTTTACCTTTTCCAGACCTGGCTGAATAGTTCCTAAACCTTCCTTGGTCTGCAAGGGCTCCAAATGTCCTAAAAATCGGCTGTGTAATTTTATAAGCTCTGCAGGTAGGGCATAATTCAACACATCTTCCAAACAATGCTACTTGTTTTACTTCTGGGGCTTAATTGAATAATGATTCTGAAGCCCTGTATAGCGTGGGCATAGACAGGACTTCTGACTAACCTTGGATTAATAAAGCTGATATAGGTACCTAAACTACATTAAGAAACTTAAAAGTCTTATTAATGGTATCCACGACACAGAAGCAGGCTGATGGACACAAAGACTTATGGAAGGCAGGTACACTTTT